ACCAACGTGGGATCTCACGATTCACCCCCCCTTGGGGGCCCAGCGTCCTCGCTGGCACACAGTGTTTGGCTCTGATACCATTTGTAACAGCCCAAGTCCACTGCAAGCAGATTTTGTCCGTTTTGGCCCGTTACGTATCGCCGTCAGCCTCATGGTTTTAAAACGCATCTACTAGGGTGAAGTTTCCACACCCTTATAAGGAATGCTTCGTTTTCCTCTCCAACCAATGTAGGATCTCACATGTAGAGTTCGGGCTTGATAGTTTCCAAAAATAGTATGTGGGAGAGCCCAGGCCCCTTTGTTGCAACAATATTAAGGGGAGGGGGAGGAAATGGCATGCAAGTTGAGTTCACAAATGAATATCTTAAAATTCACAAAAGATTCAGGATCACCCATAGAAGGTCAATAAAGCAATGCTCATGACCAACAAAAATACCCCTGAGAGAAAAATGGCATACTTGTGGAAGTGGGAGGACTGCAAGAATGTCGATCAAAAAGTATGACGACAGATATCTCTTTGCTATTGCCCAAGCATCTTCAACTAGAACACCTCTTCCAAATACTCGAGAAGAAGGAGCAATAAATCCCGTACGAAATTGCAAAACAATATGTAATATATAAAATATGTCGGTGAATGAACGTAACACACTAGCCGTAATCTCCATCTTCTTATCCAACCCAAGACATTTCTGATCATCGTCCATCACAGGGACATAAAAGAACAAAGGATCCAACGAGACTGCAATCACACAAGACAACACAAATATCTTATTCCACTTCTGGAGAAAGGGCCCCTGTGGATCAAGTACTTGTCTTCGTGTTCCAAAACTTTTGGACATAAATTTATTGAAAGAAGATGATTTCAAGGATTTCTTAATTCTATTAATCCTGTAAGAACCAGTTTCCAATTCTTTGTGAGGCTTTTCTGAAACTAAGTCAGCTCTTGTCCCATTTATTCCGACATTTAAAGTGTTATCCGCAGAATATAACCCCATTGAAGTTTTATCTGAACTCCGGTCCGGAAACCTGGACGAAAAAGCATAAAAGTTATGAGCAAACATGAACGAGTAATACTATACTAGAAGGCTCGAATTCAAAAGGGCATTATCAGAAGCCATTGTTTTATAAACCTATCCTTCAATTTAATTAAAAAAACAGAGAATACATCTAAGATAACAGTAGAGTACTTTAGTTTGAGAGAAAGGCCTATACATCAAATTTCACTGATCCTCACCCAATCATCACATTTGAAAGTATTGAATCTATAGAACACAGTCCAAGTCCAAGCCCACTGCTAGCAGATATTGTCCACTTTGACCAACACGTCTAGTAGGGATTGTTTTCCACACTTTTATAAGGAATGTTTCGTTTTCCTCTCCAACCGATGTGGGATCTCACAATCCACCCCTCTTAGGGGCCTAACATCCTTGCCAGCACACCGCCTAGTGTCTGGCTCTGATACTATTTGTAATACCCCAAACCCATCACTAGCAGATATTGTCCTCTTTGGGCTTTCTCTTTCGGACTTCCCCTCAAGGTTTTTAAAACGCGTCTGCTAGGAGAGGTTCCACACCCTTATAAATAATGCTTCATTCTCTTTTCCAACCGACGTAGGATCTCACAACATCTATCTAAGAACTTAAGAGTTCATTCAACCAAAGACATATCCAACAAAACCTATTTTGCAACAAAACAATCCCCATTACCATCATCACTTTGTAACTCAAAAAAAAAAAAAAAAAAAAAGAATCAAACTAACCGCACAATCTTCTCCTGCAGATAAGTCATAATGGAAAATCAACTAAGCAAACGCATAAAGTCCAAATACTTCTTTAGTTGACCCGAATTTCTAGAGAGAACTCCTGAAAAAAAGGGGACAAAAGTTAGAGAACTTCAAGTAAGAGAGTCCAAAGTATGGTAAAATTCAACGCAACCTTCCAAAAACCCCCAAAAAAATGGTATGACTGCCCACAGATTCCAAAGGTTAACAACAACAAAATCTAAATTGCTCAATGAGACATCAAACCGATCAACAATCACATGGGATTTCAAAGAATCAAACAAGATACCCATTCATCCAAATGTCCAAACACCGTGAAAAACCCACAAACATCCAAAAACTCTCAACCGATTATTCACAGAGGTTCAATCTACGCAAATACAACCCTGAAAACCTACTTGAAATGGAAGAAAAACACAATCGAATCACTTCTCAAAGCAAGTTCAGAGAGGAACAAACAAGAGAACTGAAATAAACAAGCAAATTCAGTAATCCAAAACTCAAAAAACCTAAAATAAAGCGAAGAAACCCACAAACAAGAACAGTAAAATCAAAAGTAACTGAAAACAAACCACTGGAATTCGAGCGAAAAGGAGAAGAAAAACATACCGAAATTAGAAAAGGTCGCAAGGAAGAACACGAAGAAAGTGGAGCGATAGATTGTTGGATATTAAATCAAATGAACAAAAAAGCTTTTGGCAGAAAGAAATTGATTGAATCCAGCAAGAGAAATGCGACTTCTTCCACTTTATACTACGAAACTTCCTCGAGACTTCTCCATCTTTGTTTTTTCAATTTCCGTTCACATTAATAAATAATTCACTAAAAATAACAATTTTTTTGGTAATTTTAATTTTTTTTCACATGAAGGGAGAGATCGGAGATGAGTCCAAATCCGTGCAGTTGGTGTCCAACACTGACGGCGACGACGACAAAGACTCAAAAATAAATAAATAAATAATAAAACTGAATTTTTTAAAAAAATTTGAAAACGGTTTTATTTTTTATTTTTTACAACAAATTTTCTATATGTATTTTTAAATTTAATTCCCTAAAAAAAATATTTGAGGAAATTTATTTTTTTAAATATAATTGTTTAAGAGAGAAAAATTAAATATAGTAAAGTTTAAAAAACATGACGTAAGATAATTTCTTTTGACGTCATAAAATGTGTTAGAAAGAGAAAAAATATAAAATATAGAGAGATTAAAACAAAAGGAATAATTTTTACGTTAGAAAAAAAAAATAGATAAAAAAGAAAAATTGGAAATAATTTCTTTAAAGAGACAAATTATTATATTTATTTGAGAGAGAAAGTTAGAAATAATTTTCATAAGTGGAAAAATTAAATGGAAAGAATTTAGAGAGAGTAAAATTTGAGAAAATATTTAATTATTTAAGCTAGACGACAAAAAACATTTCAAAGAGATAAAAAAAATGACAGAGAAATAAATAAAAATATATAGAAATACAAGTTGTATCTTTTTTATGAATTATTTTAATGACAAAAATTGAATCAAACTTATTAAAATTTTAAGGGGTTAAAATGCAAAATTTTGAGGATCAAAAAAAATATATATATTTTTTAAAGTTTAAGATTAAATTAAATATTTAAAAATTTACCAGAAATTTGGAAATCTTCAATTTATTTATTTTTATTATTTTGAATTTTTATTATTAGTCAGGCAATTTAATGAGATATTAATGTGGATAATTAAGGCCACGTGTGATGCAGGGATTGGTTATTGATTGAGGAAATTTAGGCTAGTTGAACCCGTGAGTAATGGGTTTGCAGGGGCTCGAAAAGTCAAAGAAAAATATCTGAATTCTGACCGTTTCTCCCTCGTTGACTTATGGTCACTTTTCGTGACTTTATATTTTTTATTTTTTTTATTTTGGAAAATATTCATTCCAATAATGTTTGGATAGTTTTAGTTATTTAGTTCGTTCTATTTTAAAACAGTTTGGAGTTATATGAAATGAATTGAAAATAAGTCATCCATTCAAATTATCCAATTAAATTTTTATTTTTTTAATTTCGACTTAGTTGAATTATTTAAATTTTTTTTTTTTTTGTCGGATCAATCCAACTAACTCGAAAAATAGAGTTATAACTCAACCCAGTCCTCTTTACAACACCATTATGAGGATTAATAATATGTGATGTTTGTAACTAACATTAATAATGCATTATGTCGTCTAATAATATTTAGATTCGACTAAAGTCTAAGAAATTAAAAAATTATATAATAATAAATTGAAAAAGCGTTTCTTTTTCTTTTCTTTTTTTTTTTGTAATGTTTTTTAAAAATTTCCTTTAATTTTTTAAAGATTTTTTGGAGTTTATTTATTAACAAATTTTAACATTACTAAAATATATATCATAACATTTTTTTTAATTACTGGGTCATTAAACCTTTTTAAATTATAGAGTTAGTTTAATTGGTTCAAAATAATTAATTATATCCTCTAGTTAAAAAAAAATTGTTAATAAATAATTGATACGTCATTTTAATTATTGTATTTATTGACATATATGTACACGTCACACTTGAAAAAATGAAATTTATTAAATTGACCGATTATATTTTGTTGATAAATAATTTAGTTTTATGTGTCACAACAATTTAGTTAATATTTATATGGAGGCACATGTATTTAAATATATTAATGAAATAATTATGATTGTTAATTAATGAATAAGAAGTAAGTCAAAATTAAGATATTTGACATTAGTATAAATTAATTGGAACTTTGAATTGGTTGGATGGGTGGCGGTTTAAATCTAACTAAATCTAACCCAACTCAATTCTGTATTTTTGAGTTGGGTTGGGTTAAATTGTCCAATTGTTTTTTTTCTTTTAAATATTGCAAAAAATACATATTACGACAATAACTAAATTTTCATTAAAAATAAATGTCAACCATTCATAAGTCAGATGTATTACTAACCTCGGTTATAAATGTCCATTATTGTTAATTTTTGTAATAATCGAGTGGGTTGGGTTGTAACTCTAATTTTGGGTTAGTCGAGCTTGGTTGGATTCTTGAGTTAGGTCAACACTCTTATTTAAATTTTTTAATGGTTAAGGACTAATTAAAAAAAACATATATAAAATTTTATGGATATGTATATATATAATTCAGTTAATATTTTCTGGCGTCACACAAGTATTGGAGTATAAAAGAACAATGGTTTCCAAAAGAAGAGCCAATGAAATGCTTTCGAGTAATCACGCCATTAGTATATACACAAGCAACCTCCATTGGACGCATGTTCAGCCAATCCCTTCCAGCGCCATGGTATTTTCTTGGTTTATTGCCTTACGATCGAAAATATTCTTCATCTCTTCCACAATTTCAATGAATTCAGCCGTTTCTGGAGGTGTTTTGAGTGGAACGAGAAGGTAAATTGGATTGGATGTTCTTGTGATGAGTGTTAAAATTTATGCGAGTTTTCTCCTATCTCGTTAATCAACTTTCACTCGTCTTGAAGAACAAAATTGGCGATTTCGGCATTTCATAGCTTTGATCGGTGCGTTGTTCTAATTGGTTATCTTCCTTCTGATTTAATTAGGGCTTCGAAGACAATATACTGCTGTAGTTCAATTATTTCTATTTGCAGTTAGAATGTTTAGATTATGAACAAGTTTTCTTCCATATCAAGGTATGTTTTTCCTATGTCAGGCCATTGTAGAAGGATTGCAGGAAAATGGTAAGTTGTGACTGGAAAAGTGGAGTAGAGCGTCTTACATTTTCTCTGTGCTGTAGTTTTCCCCACTAGACTAAATAATTCGTGGCAATATTCTTCCGTGAACATTTCTTTTTTTGATTTAACTTGGACATCCATTTTCTTTCTGATTTCAACTCATCTTGTCTGCCTATTGGAAACATGGACTTTTGTTTGGATTTGAAATAAACTGCTCATTCTCTTTGGACTGGAAAGGTTACTTTTAGAACAAATGAAGATTCATTGGGCTATTATGACGATAACTCAACTGAAAATAACTTGAAGTTTTTCTATTGAATTATGGTCCTCTTTAGGCTTTCTCTTTCGGACTTCCCTAAAAGTTTTTAAAACGTGTCTACTAGGGAGAGTTTTATGCACCCTTTATAAAGAATGTTCCGTTCTCCTCCTTAACCGATGTGGATCTCACAGTCCACCTGGCACTCGTTCCCTTTTCCAATCGATGTGGGACCCCCAACCCACCTCTCTTCGGGGCCCAACGTCCTTGCAAGCACACCGCCTCATGTCCACCCTCTTTGTGGCTCAGCCTCCTCGCTTGCACATCGCCCGGTGTCTAGCTCGAATACCATTTGTAACGGCCCAAGCTCACCACTAGCAGATATTGTCCTTTAAAATGCACCTACTAGGAAGAGGTTTCCACACCCTTATAAAGAATGTTTTGTTGTCCTCTCCAACGAACGTGGGATTTTACAAAGGTCATCGGATCTAATTACACAAGACTATTGGTTCTCTTGTTTGTTTATTCTGAAATGGAAACTCCTCCATGATTTGCTTCGTCTCTTAGCATTATTCGCATTTCTGGTCACCATGTTTTTTACTACTTGATGTCGTAGTTGTAATTTTAACCTACGAGCTTTGTCATTTTATGAATATTGGAAAAGGCATCTGGATACATCAACTAAGAGAACTAAAAGTTTCTTGGCCTGTTCTTGGGGAATCAAAAAAGGAAACAAAAATGGTCCTTTTATATGTATCTGTGACAGTCATCACCCCCTTGTCATAGCAGTTGGCAATAAGCCTCCATTCTTCAAAAAATTGCTTAGCTGCTTACCTTGGTGATATGTAAAGGATCAATATATGGCAAAAAGAAAGTGCATTGCACAAAAGTTCGAAGTGGGGGATCTCAATCGGCTCTCACCTTCAGTTGTTCCTTACCTCTACCTTACAGACAAGGGCCTTCAACTACGGCAATCACTTCAAACCTTCCACTTAAAGTCACATGCCTTAGATTTTTATCTATCTCAATCTGTCTTCTTCTACTTTGTCTTCTATGCTCAACAGGATTACATTGCAAAAAAAGGTATGATACTACATTATTTTTGTGAATGGCTTCATTGGCTGTTAGTGCTATACAGCGTTGTATTTGTGACTTTAGTTGTAGACTGCAAATTGATAATTGTAATACTTGTTGTCTACTGCACATTGAACTGCCTATGTGATTGATGACCGTGGGATCTTGTGCAACTTACATTTCTTCACAACATGTTGAATTAATTAGATGTACATTAAGAGGGTGTTCGGGTTACAGGGTGGTTTTGTTCGGCGTACGATGGAGAGGTAAGCCTATATATGATATGTTGGCCTATTTATCATATATTATAAATTTGTTAATCTTACAGGCTATATATACTCGGGAGTCAGGTATCGACTATTCACTAATTTTTGCACTTCACCACTCTGGTCGTCTCTAATCCGTGAGCCAAGTACTAGATGTATGCATGGTTAAAAATTACGGATCTCCGCAATGGTATGATATTGTTCACTTTGAGCATAAGCTCTCATGGCTTTGCTTTGGGCTTCCCCAAAAGGCCTCATACCAATGGAGACCTATTCCTTTATTTATAAACCTATGATCTTCCATTAAATTAACCAACGTGGGACTCACTCCCAATAGTCCTCAACAATCCTCCCCTCGAACAAGTACACTATAAGCCTCCCTTGAGGCTTATGGAACTCTTGAATAGCCTCCCCTTAATCGAGGTTCACAATTCTTTGTTCGATATTTAAGGATTCTATTGACATGGCTAAGTTTAGGACATGACTCTGATATTATGTTAGGAATCACGGATCTTCACAATGGTATGATATTGTCCACTTTGAGCATAAGCTTTCATGGCTTTGCTTTGGGCTTCACCAAAATGCCTCATACTATTGGAGATCTATTCCTTTACATATAAATCCACGATCTTCCACTAAATTAACTTAGGTGAGACTCACTCCCAATAATCTTCGACATGCATTAGACAGACGTACACGTTATACATTTTGCCTTTTGTATGTCTAGCACACTGTATATCCACGTGAAAGCACTTCATCTCTCTCTTAGTGACCCACGAGAAAACAAATGAAGTGCATTTTGTGCCTGATGTTCGGAAAGCTATGTAAAAACAAGCATATATGTGAAGGTTCTTTTCTTTCTGTCCAAAAACTCATTGAATTACATGAAGTATTATTTGGCTGCAGTTTTCTGTGAACTAACCAAAGGACTGTGCTGTGACAGCCAAAATCAAGTTGCCTGAGGAAGCTGCTTGGAAAGCAAACACGTACACCATGGATCCAATTATTCATTCTCATCAGCTCCATTTTTTAAAAGGATAATACAGCTTTCATTTGAAAGCTTATATTTATTTATTGCATCTGCAATGATGTGAAGAGTCAAATCTTTTGATCTCTTGGTCGAAGCTATATGTATAAACTAGTTGAACTATGTTCAGGTCGACAAAACTTACATGGTTGTTTGAACAATACTTATACACGGCTTAGTAGGAGCTTCGGTCTATGTTCTTCGTTGCTCTATACAATATAATAGAAAAGGAAATAGAATGACTTTGAAGCTTTTGTAGTTCTAGAATTTGATCATTTTATAGTTTAATTTAGTTGTTGAGATAAGTTTCCAGTTGAAATTGAACCATCATGTTTATTCATTTCCTTTCCTTTTACCTTTCTAAATATGGTTTGAAATTTATAAAGATTAATGTCTCTCAACCAAACAATCACGTGCTTCGTTTAATGCGCCAAATTCAACCATAAATGTGGTTGAATTCAAACCTGTTTTTTTTTGGTACTTTTCTTAATGATACAAACATGTGCCTTAAATGTAGTGAAAACCAATTAAAAAAAATTCCCTTTGCTTGGTTATTATTGTGCTATGAACTATTCATATGTTCTTGAGAGTCGGGCCGTCTTAAGAAACCATCTTTTCACCTTTTTAGTCAGATGTGCAATAATATAGATTCATTTTCAGTTCAATCCATCAGGTGAGTTGAAGATTCGAACTTTCAGTCTGTAGATGAGACTTATAATAGTCTAATGGATCGAGTTATACTCAGATTAGCTACCTACTCATTAGTTACTTTATTTCGAAGGTCAGTTACTTTTGTCTGGTATATCATTACTTATAAACCTACTATTAATCATTGAAAAATCAATTTAATGTTTGATTTTGCATTTCTACATTATTTCTCGTACCATAAAAATAGTTTTCAATAATGAAAAACACGTTCTTTTAGTAATTTAAATAGCATAAAAAATGATTTCAACCATTTCAATGTTATCCTCCAAACGAATTCTAAAATTTATCTAAAAAAAACATTCGAGATAAAAAAATTATTAAATTTTAAGATAATTTTCTTGTATTATTTTTATTTCGATAATTTAAAAAAATCTAAATTGTAAAACTTCATCACATAAAATGAGGTTTTTTTCTTTATATTATAAATATTAATGACATTCATATTTTAAACTTAAAAATTAAAAAGGAAAATAATAAAATAAATATATAAGAAACAAAAGGAAAGTATTAAACTTACAACATTTGGCATAATAATTATCAGTAACAAATATAAAAACAAATAAAATTTGTAAATTCAAATTTGATTAATAAATGTTCCCTTACCATTTTTCCTCCCAATTTTTATTTGGAAGAAAAATACATCATAAATAATTAACTATATTTAGCATATTACAAACCTTATACTAGAGTTAAAATCTAACTCTAGTTAAGGAAGTTTTTTTTTTTGTTCTCCCATAAAAAAATAATAATAAAAAAAAAAAGAGGAGAGAGAAAAAGTTAAATATTAACCAAATCCATAATTCTTAATTTTTTGTCTCCCCCAAAAATTCAGTTTTTTTTTTTTTTGGGGGCATTTGGAAAATCTCTCAGGCTCTCAGGGGGTTTTGACAAATGGGTCACTGTACATGGCGATGGTCTTCTCAGATTCAAATCACTTCAAACTCGGAACCCTCCTATTTTTTTTCGTATTAGGTAATTCTTTCTACCATATTCTAATTTTTATGATTCCGATTCAGTTTCCTTTCTGTTTACATCTGTTCCCCCTAAGTTTCGGTTGTTCTAGGGTTTCTTTTTCACTACTGGATTGCTTCAATTCAAATGCTCTTACCAAAATTTGACCGTTAACTTTGAGCTCTAATCCCTTGGTCTTGGATCATTCCTTAGTTGCTAGTTGTTCCGATTCGTTGTTTTTCTTAACTGTCGGTTACTGTTCACTGGCTTTCAAGTTCGGAATCGTTTTAATTTCGTAGCTGAATTTGCGATGGGGTTTTTAGGAGAATGTGGGTTTAAATTTGTGAAATATATCGTTAATTCAGCTTCTGGAACTGTCGATACAATGTGCGGTGGCTCGATCGGTCATTTCTCTGTGAAGAGTTCTTTGGCGTATGAGAATAATAAGACCCTGAAAGGAAAATGATCTTATGTGAATATTTTTATAAGTTTATCCGTATGCGTACAGGCTCTGATTTTGGGTGCGTGTATGTAAATTGTAATAGACAGTCTGATAAGCCAATACAAACAATGTTTTACGGGTTGCAATTTACTCTTCTTTCGACCTTGGAAGTTTTGAGGTTAAAGATTAAGAAATTGAATATATGACATAAAGGAAATGCTTCAAACATCCCAAGGACTTGCGAAAAATTGCGCCAATTGAAATTGTTGAAAGAGGATTTGGATAGGTTGCCTGAAATAGAAGCTAAGAGATCTGCCACGTTGTATGTCTCTTCCCAGTTTCTACAGCGTTTTTAAATATCCCTAGGTTCCTATTTGACCACGTTGTATGCCTGCAAATTATTTGCTCATTTGAGTTTTCAGCTGTGCACGGAAGAAAATATTATTATTAAAAACACATAAATAATCTATTCTAACGTTTCAGGCTAAAGGGACACTGAACAAAACATGCTTCACAGTCTATTTGTTAGCTCTAGAAATACGTCGTATTGAGTTGAATGAGTGAATTATCTTTTTTCGTAATAAGATGATGTCCGTGCCTACTATATGCATTGGGGAGTAAAGAAATTAAGGCAATTTATGATGAATAAGAAGATGTATTATAGACTTTGCATTAAATCTGAGTTGGATTTTGTTCAGTTTGTGCTTTATGATTAATATTGATATACATATTAATGCATGAATGTAATCAATCTATCTCTAAGTTTCTTAGGCAATTCCCTTTCCTCAACCTAACTCTCCATAAAAGATCCATTGTACTGCTTACACTTGCAGATGTCCGTATAACTTATTATTTGATTTTGTATCAGGTACTTTAACATCTAAAGTACTGCTGATTTAGAGCAGAAGTTTCTTGAGCTGTAGAACCTGATATTATTGGTTGAACTGAAGTTTTATAAATAGGCGTGGTTCTTAATATTCAGATTTTTAGGTTATTATGGAGTGCAACAAAGATGAGGCAGTTAGAGCGAAAGAAATTGCTGAGAGAAAATTTACCGAGAGAAATTATTCCGCTGCAAAGAAGTTTGTTTTGAAGGCTCAAAATTTGTACCCGGGGCTTGATGGTCTCTCTCAACTGATGACAACTCTCGAAGTGTATATCTCTGCAGAGAATAAGATAAATGGGGAAGCGGATTGGTATGGAATACTTGGTGTGAACCACTCGACTGACGATGAGACTATTAGGAAACAATATAGAAAATTGGCTCTTGTCCTCCATCCTGATAAAAACAAGTCACTTGGTGCAGAGGGTGCGTTTAAATTGGTTTCAGAGGCCTGGAGTTTGTTATCTGACAAGACAAAGAGATTGGCTTATAATCAGAAGAGGGATTTGAAAGGTAGTCGACAGAAAACTTCTACCCACACTCAAAATACTTCTGTGCCGCCAAGTGCAAATGGCTTTCAAAATTTTCATAATGTTGCTTCAAATGCAAGGAACGTTCAAAGTAAAGTCCAGGTAGGGGCTACCTCATTTCAGCCTTCCCATAAGAAACCAGATACTTTTTGGACTCTTTGCAATCGATGCAAGACTCATTACGAGTACCTTGGGATCTATCTAAATCACACCCTCCTTTGCCCTAATTGTCATGAAGCTTTTTTGGCCGTAGAGAAGGCTCCACCCCCAAATGTATTCAAGTCTCCTAGTTGGTCTTCTCAGCAGCAGCTTCAAAATTCTAGACAGCATCCTGTTAGTGGCAACGTCTATGGTACTGGTAGAAATCCTAAAAATCCTGACACTGGGCATTCTGTGGGCCTTAATTCAGTTGATAATGCGAACTTTCAGTGGGGCCCTTCCTCCCGGACAGCTGGTGTTGGTAGTACTTTTTCTTCAGCTTCCGCTCAATCTGCAAATTTGGTTCAACAAGCAATTGAGAAAGGGAAAAGAGATCGCGATGAGACACAGCCATCAACTGAAGTGGAGAGGAGTCACTTTCCTTATTCAAAAAAGAAAAAAACTGATGGAATTAACAGCTATGGGGTCCACATGGCAAACCAAATAGCCAGAGGAGATGGATCAGCTGGTGTTCGTTTACCTGAATTAAATAAGAATTATCCTGATACTCAGAAGTTTTATGGTCTTTATGGTGCATTTAACAGGACAAATAGCCACAGAGAGTTGTCAATCTTTGAAACTCGGAACATGCAAATGGACAAGGCTCGAGCTGAAATTAGTAAGAAACTTAAAGAATGGAGCTCATTGGCTGAAAAATCAACTTTGAATAAACAGTCCAAGAAGCAAAAGAATGTGGTGAATGATGAAACTCCTGATATAAAAGTTAATGGTAAATTTTCTGCAAGTAGTAAAGGATGGCATGAGAGGAAGCCTCAGTCAGGCTCTTTAGCTGGTAAAAGTACAGGTAGTGAGAAAAATCCTATCTCAATCATTGTTCCAGATTCTGATTTTCATAATTTTGACTTGGACCGAGCTGAAAGCTCATTTGGGGATGATCAAGTCTGGGCTTGTTATGATGATGATGATGGAATGCCTCGTTTCTATGCTCGAATTCACAAGGTGATTTCCCGAAAACCATTCAGAATGCGCATCAGTTGGCTCAACTCAAGAAGCAACGCTGAGATTGGCCCTATGGACTGGGTAGGTTCGGGGTTCACAAAAACCTGTGGGGATTTCAGAATTGGGAGACATGAGTGCACAAGATCATTGAACTCCTTCTCACATAAAGTTTGCTGGATGAAAGGTTTACGAGGGGTGATTCGGATATTTCCTCAGAAGGGTGAAGTCTGGGCTCTTTACAGAGACTGGTCTGCAGATTGGAATAAAGATACTAAAGAAGAAACAATACACCAATACGATATGGTAGAAGTGCTTGATGATTTTAATGAAGAACAAGGCGTGTCTGTTGCTCCTCTTGTTAAGGTTGTTGGTTTCAGGACTGTGTTTCGTAAACACATGGATCTGAAAGAAGTGAGGAAGATCCCTAGAGAAGAGATGTTCCGCTTCTCCCATCAGGTCCCCAATTACTTGCTTACGGGAGAAGAAGCTCCGAATGCTCTGAGGGGTTATAGGGAATTGGATCCAGCAGCAACTCCTTTG